TCAGATGCTTCCAGGTCAGGCTCCCAAAGCCCCTGGGTGAGGCTCCTGGTCAGATCCCTGGTCCTCCTATTTGCTTCTTCCTTTACCTGCTCTTGCTGTGGTCTAGCTCTGGCTAGTTGGGCCTCAGAGGCCCTAAAATCCTGTGTGGTCCTGACGAGGCTGCCAAGGACCTATAGAGATTCCTCTTAGTCCATGTGTTGAACCCAGAGTTGGGGCCAGACAGTRGAGGTATCAACAGGAAAACCAGGCTTATTTCTCCCCTGGATGCTACCCTCTCTTGAACAATGCAGGTATCCTTTRAGATGAGGTCCTTGAGGATGAGCACTAGCCTCACCTGTGGCACAATGAATTTTCCTACAGAGCTGTGRGAAATATCCTTGGGAAGTATGTAGGTACACAACAGTGTGATCAGTATGCCATGGAGTTTGTCCTGTAGGGTGATTATAACTGCCTGTGTGCCCACCTTCCCTGCCTACCCTGAGTACCCTGCCCACTATGCAATGACTAGGAGGCCAGGGTCTGTACCCAGGGCTTGCTCTCAGAGCCTGCAGGTCCACAGGAGTGAGWAGGTGGCCCATTGAGCAGGGTGTCAGGGAAGACTTTGTCAGTAGCAGAGCTTGGGGTTGGTGGGTGGGAGCCTGGGTGGAAGATACATTGAGTTCACAGGAACCTGCCAAAGAGTTTGCTGATGGAGTATATAGAGGCATAGGTGAAGGAGGTGGATATGCTGAGGGAGCGAAGTGGGAAAGGAAGAGGGAKGGTCCAGTGGGCAGCGGGCCTGGCTTGAGTGGGGGGTGAGGGATTGGAGAGAAAGGCAGTTCCTGATGGTCCCCTCCCCAGGGGCTGGCTTTCCTCTGGTCTTTCCCTCCCAATGACTGCGTCTTCATCAAGATTGCACGTCTGGGCTCTGCGCCAACATCTCCAGCACCAGGCTACCTGGAGATCCATCATTTGACTTCCTGTGGAGAGTGGAACCCTCCTTATCACTGTTGTCTCGAGGGCTGGTCTGCTAGGATGGCAGGGTCCTAAAGCTGAACCAAGGGCCCTTTCTTTCTGACAATGGACAAGGGTTTCTCCTGTCAGCAGTCTTGCCCAGCAATGGGGGCTTGCAGTCAGAGAGTAGACCAGGACTGAGGGTCTACCCTTCTTCTCTGATACTATAGAATGGTGTGTTCCTGGTGGGCAGTCCTTACAAGAGCTCTTCATCATCCCTGGACTTGGGCAGCTGCTGGGCACTGAGCCAATGGGATTATGGTAGGGATTGGCTAACAGGCTTTCTCTCATGACCTCAGCTTGGCAGGTTCTCATGTCAGGGAAAAATTGGCTCCTCTAGGGTGAGGGCACTGTGTCTTCTGGTCATGTGGTGGTTACTGGGATCCCCTATCCACAGCACCTGAGAGGTGGGATAGCTGGGACTTTTCTAAGTCTCAGTATGCTTCTTATCTCCTTGCACTGCCAAGGATGATTCTGCTGATCCATCTCATCAGTTATGTCCTATTTGAATAATCCACTGTTGTTCAATGCCTCACACCAAAAAATAAAATAAAGAAAAATAAAGAAAAGAAAAAGTAAGAAAAGAAAAGTCCCCTGCTGAGCTTTAACTTGTGACTTATGATTCCTATATTCCTATAGCTTATAGCTTTCATTTTTAAAGAACTTTTTTTTTTGTACCAGGGATTAAACTCAGAGGCATTTGACTACTGAGGCACATCCCCAGCCCTATTTTGTATTTTAGTTAAAGACTCTCACTGAGTTGCTTAGTGCCTCACTTTTGCTGAGGCTGCATTTGAACTTGCCTCCTGCCTTAGCCTCCCAGCCACTGGGATTACAGGCATGCACCACCATACCCAGCAAGAACTTTCTAAAAATTCCTTTAGTGCTTTGTAAACTTTCTGGTTTACTGGCTCAATTCCTCTCAGTTGCTTTTATTTTTCTGGAATTAGAGTTTTTTGATCTATGATATATATGTGGATCCCTTTCTGCTGGTCCTTACTCCTGGTGTTTGTATCCAGGTATCTACCAATTGTGGGCACCCTCAATATGAACCTCAGTCTAATCCATGGAAGTCTGGCTGAATCAGGACTTTCTCCCTGTTTTTGCACATTGTTCTCAGAGCCCCTGGGGGTGACTGTGGATGTAGCTTACCCTTACTTACCTGTGTTTATCTTATTTACTTTGAGAATCTAATTTGGGGGAAGATCCTCTAGGAATTAGATTCCCTATTTTGATGAAGGACCCTAAGCCTTGTCTTCTGTGCCCTTGTCCTATGAGGCTACCAGAACCTAAGCCTAGTTTGTCCTGACAGATGCTTTGAGCCAGAAACAGCCACTGTGCCCTGCTTTCCTTTCTGGGTCCCTATATTCTCTGAGATATTTTCCAAATCCTTGGTGATCTTGGCTTCTTTTCAGATATTTTCATATTTTTTCAAGTTTTTTTTTTTTTTTCGTACCAGGATTTTACCCAGGGGCACTTAACCACTGAGCCCTTTTTATTTTTCATTTTGAGCAAGGGTCTCACTAAGTTGCTTAGGGCCTCAGCTAAGTTGCTGAGGCTGGCTTTGAATTTAGGATCCTCCTGCCTCAGCTCCTGAGCCACTGGGTTTACAAGCATGCACTGCCACACCCATTTTTCCCCAAGCACTTTGGTGTATTTTTTACTAAGAATGTTGGCTAATAGCCTGCATACCAGTTCTGGATTCTTACATTACCCTGAGATGATGGTCTTCAGTGGGTACTGCCAGGGCACCCAGGGAGAGAATCCAGTCTGCGCCTGACCTCTGGCCTCATTCTGTATAGGAACCTTCATGTTTGGCATCCCTTTGGCTCAGTGTCCTGTGAAAGGCAGTGACTAGCAGCCCATTTACAATGGCTGAATGTCTCCCAGCACCCTGTGCTCCTGCAGATGGTTGCATAGCCACTGGCTCCTTCCTAGGGCAGAATATAGGCCCCTAGTGGTTATAGTAACTTTTGTGCCTGCAGGGCCCTGGAACAGAGCAGAAACCATGGGATAAGGATGTGTATGTAGGTGGAGGAACACAGGTTGGAGAGCTCTGAGCCTCAGCTGAATCCTGAGGGCTTTTTCCACAGCCTGGTGGGACTGGGTCCTTGGTGGTCCCAGTGTGTAGCTGTGGGAGCTGGCAGGGAAAGTAGCAGTTCGTGGATGGAAAGTGGAGCTCTTGTGCCTCTCCCCTGACTTCTAGGATTGACCAGTGAGCAGGAGACATCATGACATTGTCTAAGAGAAGGGCTGTGAACTTGGCAGTGTCCCCATGGCTGTCAACCCAGGTGTTCACTGAAGGCTATGACCAAAGCCCCTGCTATTCCCATGGTGCCAGCTCTGGCTTTGATAGCAGGGTTGGTGCAGTGGAAATGCCTTTGTTTTGTGCTGAGATGCAGAGTCTGAAAAGTTGTTATGTCAGATTCCCAAGAATTTGGAGTCATCGCACCATTTCAGAGGGGGAGGTTTCAGTGAGGCCTCTTTTTAAGAGGCTGGTTATGGCCATTGTTGGGAGTTCCTGGCCTGAAACAGTGAACCAAGAGCCTTCCCCAGCTCATGCTTGCTGCTTATACACCAATAGGGAGGCTTTGGGGGGTCTTTACCCAGGATGATGCCCTGTGTGCTTGCTCTAAGACCTTGGGCAGAGGAGCAGGAGTGCTTATGAACTGTTGAGACTTGGAGACAGAATGGGCTGGGTCTGGGACACCTCACTTGAGTAACCTTGGTCTCCTGCCCTAGCAAGGGCCTGGATACCCACTTTATAGGTATGCTGCCTCTTGAGGAGGAACCCAAGCTCTAGTGGGTACCATATGCTTAACATCTGGGACCAAGGCCACTGTAGGGACCCTCTTTACCCCCGATGGTGTTCCAAGATATAACACCGTCCTCCCTGACTCCTAGGGTTCCCCAAGATATGGCATGATACTCCCCAACCAAGGGTTAACCAAGATAAGGCACTCAGACCTCTAGGGTATCTTCTGCTAATGTGCTTGGGGAGCTCAGTGGCCTCCTTGAAATATTCATATGCTCACAAATGCAGGTATATACAGATGCTATTCATATGTACACATGTGTACATACATGTATATATACACACAAGTACATATATTAGTTGGCTTCCTGTCACTATGACAAAATACCTGTGAAAATCAAAGGAGGAAAGATTTTTTTTTTAATTTTAATGTTTATTTTTTTACTTTTCTGCGGACACAATATCTTTATTTGTATGTGGTACTGAGGATTGAACCCTGGCCGCATGCATGCCAGGTGAATGCACTACCGCTTGASCCATATCCCCAGCCCAGGAGGAAAGATTTATTATGTTTCATGGATTAAGATTGTGGTTGGTTACACTATTCCTGGGCACGTGGTGAGGCAGAGCATCATAGTGGAGAGGATGTGGTAGAACAGAGTTGCTTATCTCATGGTAGCTCAGTGATAAGGGACAAATATACGCTTCCAAAGTTAATAACTAGTGAGTGTCCTACTTTCTCCAATTAGGCCCCACCTCTTAAAGGTTGCACTATCTCCTAATAGCACCACAAGCTGGTAATTAAACCTTAGCACTTGGCCTTTGGGGGACATTTCAGATCCAAACCATAACACACGTGTACAAAGAAACACACAAAGACTTATTCATGCACTTACATACCTCAGCAGACTCACCTCTGTATATACACCAAATATCCATATGCATACCGGTTTGTTAGACTTTTTTGGGAAGAATATGTTTGGCTCCCTTAGTATTAAAACAGCTTTTTGGCTGTTCCATGTCTTGGCTGCAGACATTAGCTCTGCCTGAAGCTATATCACTGAATCATTGCACATGTATAGTCTTCAGGGACCTTTGAGTCACTTTTACATGTTGGTGGCATTAATATCTAATSTGTTTTCAATTTGGTTGTGGGAAAATGCTTGCTTGGCTCCAGGGGCTCCCAGGCACAGGGTCTGGGGTCTGTGTGGCAAGGGAGTGGGCACTTAATCCATGCTTGCCCAAYACCTAGGTGTGTGTGCACATTGCCAGCACATGTCCCTGCCTGCTGATGTGGATGTCCAGGGCTCCTGTGTCCTATGGGGTGGTGGGCATTTGAGCTGGATGAAGGCCTGCCAGGGACATATGCTGCAGAGCATCCCAGGTGAGTGGGGTGTAGTGTCCTGCCTTAAGGTGCCATGGGCTGAGATGAAAGTGCCTCCCTTGGTTGCTTGTGGGGAGGATTTGGTACCATTTCAGGGGAGGGTATGCTACCTGCTGGCCCTAGCTACATGCGTGGTTCCTAGTCTCACTGTTGMCATTCCCTCCACACCCACTCACCACCCCCATGTGGTGTGTCCAGGGCCTGTGAACATCATGGATAACTGCGATAGAGAGTGGCTATGCTGATGAGTGCACAGGTGAAGACAGATGTTTATGCAGTGCCAGCAAGCATGTGATTTTTGCCTGTTCAGCCCTGCTTGCTGGCATTTCTGTTATAGGCTGTTGTAAGTTCAGTGAGGCTATTCTATCATCAGTCATTTATTCAACTTATTATTTTCCTTTTCCTGCAGACCTCATTGAACCTGTTGCAAAGCCATCCCTCGCAACCCATGTGCATCATCTTCTTTAAGTTTGATCCTCACCCTGTTTCCAAAAATGCATACAGGTAACACTCTGGCTCTGCGTCTTTCATGTTCTGCTGGGTCTGGGATGCCTGGCTGGTTCTCTCCCAGTCCTGTGCACCACATRCAGGAGGGGTGAGAGCAGATCAGAGGGCATGTAGACTGAGCCCTGGATGGCTGAGTCCTGGGTTTAATCTCTAGTAYCTTAAAAGCAAACAAATAAACAACAACAACAAAAAACCAAACCACTGTGTTTGCAGTAATTTGATATCTATCATAGAAAACCAAGATAACATGGTCATACTATCACATAACCACCATCTTTTAAAAAGATGCTTTTTACACTTACATGCTGAAGTCCTTTGTTGCCTACAACCTAGACTGTCACTCCTCATGGTAACTTCTGTGGGGTTATCACTGAGGCCCTGATCAATGGATCACAGCACCTGCTACCTGCTGCCATACCACCCCTCAGATGGTGACTGATCCAGCCCCAAATGGTCACAGACTCACCCTACCATGATACACATACCTTCCCGCAGACTCACCCCAGACCTTGCATAGACACATCCCCCTGATGTTGCACACACTCATCTCCCCCCAACAATGTACCCTTTCATCTCCCCGATGTTGCATATGTTCACTTACCCCATCTGTGTGAAGAGTGCTTGGTGRTGATGGATAATCAGTGGTTTCAGTTAATGGAACAGAACCAAACCAGTGGATGATTTGCCATGTGATGCACAGCCCTTCACCATGGTGTTTTATCATTCAGACCCTGAACATTGGCATAGATGAACTTTCATCTGCATTGCAGTCTCAAGTATTGACTGAGGGAATTACTTCCTCCTCTCATCTAGGGCTCTAGGCATCAGAGTGGGTAGTCATCACACTCATTTCTTTCTGAATTATGTATTTAATGAAATCCCAGGCAAGGCAAATCTCTGGCAATTCAGCTAAACAGTGTCTCCTATGGTAAAATAACCTATAAATTAATGTTTCTGAATTATTAGGCAAATACATTCCTATCGAAAAATAGGCAGTTGAACATCTTAAGGTCGAAGACTGCTTTAATAAGCTTTTCATTTCCTTATTATTATTATTTTTTTCCTTCCCTGTAACCTTATGTAAGAATTGGTACCCAAAGACAACAGCCTCAGCCTGGCTTTGGACTGTGGAGTTTATTATCCTCTCCTTGGGAGGGCTGGTTTTATCCAGCAGGGGCCTCCCTAYTACCCCATCTCCCACTCACCCTCAGAGATCTTGGAGGTGAGAAAAGAGAAGAAACATTCTTTTTAAAAGAGAGAACACTTGAATAGGACCTTGTGGAAATTGACTTCCACCCCGACAGGGACCATAGGGGCTTCAACCCAGTCCCTAGTGTATCTTTACTGTAGCTTATCTATCTCCTCCCACTCAGGGACCTCCTCCTAATCACTGTTCAAGCACAGCTGAAGGCAGGACTGACCTATACAGGTCCAGGGACAGACATGATGCCTGTTAGAATGGTGTCAGTCAGGATGGCCCTGGGGCCAGGAAAGGTGGGCACTGCTGCTGCCTCTGCTGCAGAGGTTGGGGACACCTCTGACTAGAGGGACAGAGGAAATGTGGTAGGAGATGTAGGCTGGAATCTAGGTTGAAACTTGGCAGTTGAAGGTGCAGAGGGTTATTTTGTATATGGCTGATTCTTTTTTTTTAAAAAATTTTGATTTGTTAATATATGACAACAGAATGCATTACAATTCATATTCCACATATAGAGCACAATTTTTCATATCTCTGGTTGTACACAACGTAGAGTCACATCCTTCGTGTCTTCTTACATGTACTTAGGGTAATGATGACCATCACATTCCTCCTTCGTTCCTATCCCTATRCCCCTTCCCTTCCCTTTTCCCCTTTGCCCTATCTAGAGTTCATTTAATTCCTCCCCCTCCCAGCAGCATATTGTGAATGGCTGATTCTTGTATCAGGGACAGTGGACAGACCATTCCCTTCTCACCCTGGGTGGCACATACCTGATGCAGCCCTGGAACTAGCTATGTGGATGGGATAGAGAGGGGCCACATGGGGTGCCCTGAAGATGGTGAGGCTTCTGTAGGAGACCCAGAAGGTTCGAGGGAAATGCACAGTCCCTGGCCAGACCTGACCCCTCCTGCCAAAGAAACTCACTATAAAATAGGATGGARCAGCCCTCAGAGGGCTGCTGACATTCAGCATATGTCTTCAAGTTCCCTTTCATGCATGCTTACATTCCAGGAAGCCTACAGGCTTTCTGTAGGTATTCTCAAGGAATGGGACAGATGGTCAGAAGAAGGGATGGTTCCCCATTCTCTAATCTAGGCCCCCAGGATGTGCTTGATGATTCCATTCCTGATCCTCACTTGCCCAGCACCTGGTCCTGCCACTGGCTGGGACCTTTTGGGGTGGGCAGGGACTCTGTGTAGTATGGAACAAGGGTGTCCCATGGGCCCTGGCAGACCTGTCTCTTAGCACTAAGCCAGGTAGTCTTACGTCTTTGCCCAGGACCTGTCTGTTTCTTGGGTAGGGGCTCTGAGTGCTATCTCCCTAGGGGCTACCTGAAGCCTCTATATACTTTTGTCTGTTGTTGGTTTGGCAAGGACTGAAGGGTTTCTATCATCTTTAGGTCTTATCCTTATTGCTATATCCTATAAATTTTATATATTAGCAAGAGAAGCTGGGGGTGTAGTTTATTGGTAGAGTACATGCTAGGCATGTGCAAGGACCTGAGCTCAATCCCCAGCACAAAAGAGAGAGAGAGAATGTGGATTTTCTGTTTCAATCCGAGATGGCCAGTCATACTTTTTTCTCCTAGGTTCATTCTGGCAGCCAACAGGGATGAGTTCTACCACAGACCATCCAAGTTGGCAGGCTTCTGGGGGACTAACAATGAGATCCTCAGTGGTAAGTCTTATTTCACACCTGGTAGATAGCCATTCAGCATGGCCCCACTCAGGCTCCTGGGGTATCATGAAAGTGCAAGTCACAGAATGATCCTAATAATATCCTTGCTTCCAAGTGTAAGTACCAAATGTGTGCAAGGATATGGTGAACCTTGGGATCTGGGTCAGCATTGAGTTATCCAGCCCCAGCATTGAGCACCACCCAGTGTCCTTGTGGTTTTACATACCCTGTGACCCCTTGAAGAAGTAAGTAGTCACACTACATGTAGGAGCTATATCACTTCTGAGGCATCCTAATTGTGTGTGCATGCACATATGTATGTTTGTGTCTGCATTATTGTTTCTATTTATCTTCTCTTGCTGCAGGGAAGATGGGCTGAATTGGTGGAGCAAAGGCTTGGGTGGGGCACATTTTGTATTACTAGAAATATCTTTTTTAAAACAGTTTTTTAGATGTTGATGTACCTTTATTTTATTCATTTATTTGGATGTGGTGCTGAGAATTGAACCCAGTGCCTCTCACATGCTAAGYAAGCTCTCTACCACTAACCACAACACCAGCCCTGAAATATTATCATTGATTGCATGGATGSTGCATCTCTACATCTTRTACAACCAGAGAATTGAAATGTTGCACTYCATTTGTGAACCATGAATTGAAATGCATTTGCTGTCATGTACAACTAAGTAGAACAAATAAAAATAATAATTAATTTAAAAAATGTTATAATTGAGTTTTGTTTTGGATTAGGTAAGTTATTACAAGAACCATGTTGAGGCTGGATACATGCCTATAGATCCCAGTGAATCAGGAGGCTGAGGCAGTATGATCACAAGTGTGAGGACATCCTGGTCAACTTAGTGAGACTCTTCCTCCAAAAAAAAAAAAAAAAAAAAAAAAGAGCTGGGAATGTAGGTKCTCCTGGGTTCAATCCTTAGTATTGGGGGAAAAAAAAGAAACATAGTTTAAGCAGGGTGTAGTGGCACACACTTGAAATCCCATATTATACTCTGTGGGCTGAGGCAGGGAAATTTTAAGTTTGAGGCCAAATTCAGAAGCCTAGGGAGACCCTATCTCAAAATAAAAAGGGCGGAGGATGTTGCTCAGTGGTAAAATGCCCCTGGGTTCAATCCCAGTACCAATAAATAAATAAATAGATGCCATTTTGGTCTTTTCAGGTCTTCTTCTTAAGATTTGATAGGTTTGGAACTGTGTAGCCTGTTCAGGGCGAATTATTACATGTTTTTTCTAATTTGACTTCTAGGAGTGATATTATGTGTAAGTACTGACCAGGTCTAATCTTTCTGGTTGGTTCAGATAATTTGTGCACTRATTAGAACTCTGGTGTTCTCTGTGTGGCTCTCCTCTCTGATCTTCTTTTGATGAACTCTGGCTTCCTCTGTATCCCCCAACTCTCAGTCTCTGCCCTCAGCTCAGGGAGTCTGCTGATCTCTTCCTGGCCGCCCCCCCCCCACCTCCCCTTTGCTGGATCCTGGGGACTTTCCAGTCATGGAACTCATCTCATTTGCTTCTTGTCTCTCACCTCCTTTATCTCAAAACTCCTTTATTCACATATTTTAATTTTTGATTGTTCTAATTGGGAGAGAAAATCTGGATCCTGTTGCTTGGTCACATAGGAATGCTGGAATGCTGTTCTTCTTCTTCTTTTTTTTTTGGTACCAGGGATTGAAATCAGGGGCACTCAATCACTGAGCCACATCCCCAGCCCTATTTTATGTTATTAGAGACAGGGCTGAGGCTGGCTTTGAACTCATGATCCTCTCGCCTCAGCCTCCCGAGCTGCTGGGATTACAGGCATGCACCACCGCGCTGAGCAAGCTGTTCATTTAAAAATTATTAGTTTGGGCTGGGGATGTGGCTCAAGCGGTAGCGTGCTCGCCTGGCATGCGTGCTGCCTGGGTTCGATCCTTAGCACCTCATACAAACAAAGATGTTGTGTCCACTGAAAACTAAAAAATAAATATTAAAATTCTCTCTTTTTTTAAAAAAAATTATTAGTTTGTAGGATTTCTTTATGCATTCTGGATGTGCATCCTTTGTTGATAAATGTATTGCTTACTCATTTCTTGAATGATTTCTTTTGGTGAGTAGATTTTAGCAAAATGCATTTTATCTACTCTTTTATGGTTTCTTCTTTTTGTGTTGTATTTGAGAAATCTTTGCCTCCATTAGGTCATGAAATGTTTTCCTATTTTGCTTCCTCTGTTTTGCCTTTCGATTTTGAGATCTATGCTTTGGTTTATGATTTATCTCAAATTAATTTTTATACATTGTATAAAGTAAGGGTTGAGGGTCATCTCCCTTCCATCTCTCTGGTTGTTCCAGCATCATTTATTAAAATGGATACTCTTTTACCTGTTAGCATCTTGGTTGTAAGTCAGTTGAACATATTTGTATCCCATTGATCTGTGTGTCTCTCTTGATGCCAGTACCACAATATCTCAAAATGTCCTTTTGAGCCAAGTGCAGTGGCAAACGCCTGTAGTCTCAGCTACTAAGGAGGCTTAGGTAGGAGGATCACTTGAACCCAGAAGTTCAAGACCAGTATGGGCAACATAGTGACACTCCAATCTCAAAACAACAACAATTTAGTCCTTTATAGTGAGTCTTAAAGTTCCCCAGCTTTGTTCTTTTTCAGGACTGTTTAGGCAATTCCAGTTCCTTCACATGTCCATAAACATTTTATTAGCTTGCCAATCTCTGTGTAATTAAAAAAAAAAAACCTAGAGGATTTTGATAGGATGGTGTTCATGGGCCAGTTGGGGAAGAAGTTGGGTCTTCCATTTGGCATACAAGATGGCACACTTCTCCTTGGTCAGCTTGACTTCCTTCTGCAGTGTTCTCTGGCTTTCTATCTTTAGGTGTCATGTGGTTTTTTTTTTTTTTTTTTTTTTTTTAGAGAGAGAGAGAGAGAGTGTTAGTTTTAAAATTTATTTTTAGTTATCGGCGGACACAACATCTTTGTTTATATGTGGTGCTGAGGATCGAACCGGGCTGCACGCAAGCCAGGCAAGCGTGCTACCGCTTGAGCCACATCCCCAGCCCGTCATGTGTTTTTTATTAAATGTTTTCCTAACTATTTTAAAAATCATACTAAGCGTTTTGTTAACACTGTTGTCAATGGTATATTTAAAATTTCTTTTTATAATTATTTTTTAATTATAGGTGGATACAATCTTTATTTTTATGTGGTGCTGAGGATCGAACCCAGTGCCTCACACATGCTAGGCGAGCGCTCTACCTCTAAGCCACAACCCCAGCCCTCTAATTCTTTTTTTTAATCATATATTTATTTATTTATTTATTTATTTATTTATTTATTTATTTATTGGTGGTGCTGAGGATCGAGCCCAGCTACTCACACGTGCTAGGCGAGTGCTCTATTGCTGAGCCACAATCCCAACCCTCTTTTTCTAATTCTTGCTCATGTTTACTTACTGGCTCTAGTAGATTGTTTTGGGTATTGCTTTTAGATTTTCTTAGTATATAATCTTGTCATCTACAAATAAAGACAGTTTTGCTTCTTCCTTTCCATGTTTACATTTTATTTCTTTTTCTGTTATAATTGATCTTTGTTATAAAAATGACATTTTAGTGACTTAGGAAAATGATCCTCTAGTCTAGCAAGGCTCCCCCTCCTGTGACTTTTTGTTTTTTGTAGCAGGTGCTGGAGGTCTAACCCAGGGCCTCCTGCATGCTAGGCAAGCATTTTACCACTGAGCCCACTCGCTCACCCCAATGCCTGTTTTTAAGGGCCTAGTAGACCTTGTGGTATGGTGTGGTARCCCATGCAGGACTGACCACTGACTGGGCCTGTGCCAGTTTCCAGTAGATGAGGCAGCCTGGCCTGGTTTCTGCATGGAAGTGACTTCCAAAACTGGTTCAAGCATGAGGTGTGTTCTGTAGAAGTCACAAAGGGAATACCTGATTTCAGGGCCCTCTGTTGGTGTCATGATGGGTATAGTTGGTGCCCATGTTAATCTGTATCATCTGCACCTCTTGTATCCTCAGGGGCTGCCTCACCTTGCAGAGTTAGAGCCCATTCAATAGGCTAGGCTGTTAGACCAAGCTGTGCATTGCTGTGTGTCCTCATGGAGCAAAGGAGTTTGTTTCCCAGGAGACAGGGACCAGGAGGGAGACCAGAATGGGTTGATGCTCTTCATGGTGATTATTGCTGGTGGTAACACTGTTGCCTGCTACCTGCTACAGGGCTTGACATGGAAGAAGGCAAAGAAGGAGGCACATGGTTGGGCATCAGCACACGGGGGAAGCTGGGGGCACTCACTAACTACCTGCAGCCACAACAGGATCCAGAGGCCCGTGGCAGAGGTAAGTTGGATAGGGTAGAATGGGACCTAGGCAGGGCAGAGCCAAGGCATAGCAGGTAAGGTGGGTGGGCTAGGGACTATCAAGGCAGTCAGGAGTCATGTTATAAGGGCTTCTTCTGATATACCTCACCCACCTTGATCTGCTTCTGGGCCATGTGGCAGAGACAGGAGAGGAGTCACCATGGGAGTCACCTGAGACTTGTTTATCTCAGTGAGTGAGCTCCAAGCATATTACTTCCCAAAGTGTCACGCTAAGGGGCTGGGGATATAGCTCATGCCAGAGCACTTTGCTAGCATGTGTGAGGCCCTGGATTTAATCTCTAGCACTGGTTAAAAACAAAACACCAAAATGTCACTCTTAATCACTGTGTCAGCCTCTTGAATGTTGCAGAGCATATGTCTGCCCCAAGAGCACACATAAATATGTTCCCAGGGAAATTTTCTCCTTTCATGCTGAATTTCTCTATGGAGGCATAATGGGGAAAACTTTTTTTAACTGAAAAAAATCAGATTTCTTGGTGTCAACCTCAGTGGCAGTACAGTCAATGAGGTGTGGCTCTAGTGGGACCCTTTTCCTTCCTGCATCCTCCTGAAGGGGCCTCACTCCTGTATTCCCAGGAAGAAGGGTTTACCCTGTTTTCCTCAGCCATGTGTATCCCCTGCCTATAGGTGAACTTGTGGCCCACTTTCTGACCACTGATATGGACAGCTTGTCCTACCTGAAGAAGGTCTCCACAGAGGGCCACCTATACAATGGCTTCAACCTCATAGCAGCTGATTTGAGGTGGGTCTACCAGCAGGGGGACAGCCATGCTACCCAGCACTGMCTTGAGGGCCAGGTCTACAGATCATTGGAAAGCAGGGTTCAACTCCACCAATCAGCTTGGCAGCCTTTCCTAAGATGTTGTTTCCGGTTGGCTTGGCAGGCATCCTGAGAACCTACCTGTTTCAGACCCATCAACTTGGGAACTAAGAACATAGCCTAGGGCTTCCTGTGACAGTGTGAGGCTTCTTGCTTCCTGACTCCAGAGAACTGAGGTGGGGACCTGGCAGTGTAGGACTGKGAAGGGCAGCCTGTTTGGAGAAGCCTGGCTAGGTTCCTCCTCACTTCCCATAAGCAGGTTTCACAGTGCAGCCTATGGCAGCCCTAATCAAATACTATGCTCCCAGGTGACTCTCATATTAGAGACGTAGCCATAGGAACTGGAGAGGTTTTGTATGTTTTGCCTTTTAGTGAAGGGAGCATCCTTCCTATGCTTCCCTGTCCTCTCCTGGGTCCTCTTCCTCCCTTCTCTGAAGCCAAAGAAGCCAGTGAATGCTGTTAGCCTAGGGGCTTCCTCCAGTACAGATAGTGAGGGAGGCCATTAGTATCCTTTGGATAGCCCATGTTCAGATGCCCATCCTGAGCTGCCTCCTTCTGTGAGGGGAAGTCAATGGACCTCTGGGCTCTTAAGACCTAGGCTTCTATTCCTTTGAGCATCCATTTCATGTGGCATTCTTTGCCTCATCTCTGTACCACATGGCTAGACAGACTCAGTGTGGAGGTTGAGCAAGCTGTAATAACCCATAGGAGGAAGGCCCAGGATAGAGGCTGATTATGAATTTGCTGCCAAGAATTCTCCTTTCTGCTGACTTTAGTTCCTGAAGACCAAGTCCATGTGCTGTCTAGGCTCTCCATACTTGGTTACCACTGTTAGTAGTTCCATGCTTATCTGACCCAGCCCTAAGAAACCAGACTAGCAACTATGATGCTAGTGAGACTGGGTGTTCTGCAGCTGTGTCGAGTGTCCAGGGAACAAGGGAGTTGTCCTCTGAATGGATGTATGGTCAAATGTGAGATGGTGGCTCCTGCAGTTGTGGAAAGTGAGGGCCTATATCTTTGGGAGCCTGATAAGCTGTCCTGGTTCCTGGTTCAGAGGCCTGCTATCCCAACACCACCCAAGAAGTTTGACAGTGGCCAGAAGAGCATCCTGTGGTTAGATGGAAGATGGTGCCAGGAAAGCAGCCCTGTTGGTGGGTGCTAATGAGGAAACCAAGACCTGTTCTAGGTCAGGCCCTCCTTTTGCCTGGCCTCTGGCGACACTGGCATTAGTTCCAGTATCTATTTCTATAGGCCCATAGGCAAAAAATTTAAAAGAACTTTTGCCAGAAAATAAAATCTCTGAAGTCATTAGCCAAACATCTTGAGGAAATTGCCAAGGATTGTAGTGAGGAAGAATGTGAAAGAAATGTGAGCACAGGCTAGGGGTTCTAGATGCCTGTGTGGACTGGAGAGTGGTTGGAGAGTGAGGGAGGAAGGGCAGGTCTCTAGTACTCAACATCTGCCCCTTACTCTGCATTTGTCTGTATTGAAGACAAGGGTCTCCTTGTTCAGCTTTTTGTCTTGGGAAGATGTCTCACAGGTTATAAAGAATCCCTATTTATTTATTTGAGACAGGGTCTAGGTTAGTTGCCTAGGTGGGCCTTAAACTTGCARTCCTTCTGTCTGAACCTTTCAAGTAGCTAGGATCACAGGGGAGTCCCTCTTTAGTTTGCAAAAAAGGTATTCCAAGTTCTAGCAGAAAGACTTACTRCAGTATTGAGGAACTGGGATATCTTTAGCTGTGGAGCAGTTTAAACTATTTTTAAAATCTGTAGTCAGTATACAAAAATATGTTTTCATATGGCACTTTGTTGAGAAGTCTATGTCGCCCTGAGACCAACTGCCCAGGAACAGATTGAGATCAATTGTGGAGGTGGGGGCCTTGGCCCCTGGAGTGTTCAGGTGTTTGTTGGGGTGGGGCCCAACTCAGATATTATCACTACATTCCTATGCTATGTGGCATTCAGCCATGCTTTGCTGTGCCTCCTAGGCTGGTGGTCCCCAAGGTGAGCCAGGAATGTACCTGTGATGTTAGAAGGAGCCAGGGTCTCCATGATTCTGGCTTCCAGTATCCTAGCCTGGCTAAAGTGGACCATTGTTTTTGCATTGGCTCCCATTGGGGCTCTGGGAATGGGGCCATGAGATCAAACTGCRCAATGTGGGGGCAGGATACCCTGTGGCTCCCATCTTACCTTCTCCCCTCCYTCTATCTACAGTACAACAAAAGGAGACTTGGTTTGCTACTATGGAAACCGGGGGAGGCCTGAGCCCATTGTCCTGACACCAGGTGAGTCTGTTCTGGGAGTCTGACGGAGAAGGGGGCTGCTCCTAATGAAGGGGATAACCTATACTTTTCAGAGACCAGGACCCTGTTGCAGCWCTTTCCTGGGACTTTTTTGGCCACTTGATGCCTAATGATCTGTACAAGATTGTGGCCCATACCTGCCACAAGAGAGCTTTATACCCTCCCTACTGCCTTTCATGGGCTTTTCCTATAGACTAAGACTGCACTTGCTCTGGACTTCCCATCTTAGCCCCAAAGCCCAGCTGGTGACCCCCAACCCCACTTTATAGCCCCATCACCAGCCCCACCTCGTAGCTTCATCTTGCCTTAGATCCTTTAGGCTCCACCCAGGCTCTTCCCCTTGACCTCTTCCCCATGCACAAGCACCACATGCTAACTTGTCACAAATGCATACCTCCTGCATCTGGCCACATGCTGGCCCATGTTCTCAGAGACTTGTCTCTCTCATCACCTGCCTGCCTCCCCCTGTACCCCAGAGCACACTCTGCCTGGACCATCCCCTCCCTCTAGCTACACCTTTGCCCAGGCTGTGCCTTCTRCTGCTCTGCCCTTCTATTCCCTTCTTCTTTAGGTGTTATGATTTTCTGAAAGCCTCCTCTGTCAGCACCCRTCCCCACAATCTGGGCAGAGAGTATTACATTGCCTTCCCCACTATAAACCACTTTTGGGAGGAGGTCTGAGTCTTCAGGACAGAGCAGGAACCCCTGGGAAAAGCACAAATGGGGTCTAGCACAGTATACCAGGTAAACAAAATTCCTGGGACCAGAACCCTGCCTTCAGGCCTGCTTCCTCCCCCCAYAGCTTGCTGCTTGAGGCCTGTTCTCACTGGTGACATCTTAGGACTACAGAACTCAGACACCCACTCTGGTCCCTATATCTGAGCTGTTGGCCCATATCAGATGACCCAGCCAACGGGAAGAGTGTCAACATCCTTGGTATCACCCTCATCCCTGCCTCTTTGAGGCAGTGTTCTTTTGTAGTATAGTTTTTGTGTCCTCAGGACACAGGAATTTTCTCTGCAGTTGGCACCAGTCACCAAGTGAGGTCGCAGGACACAGGTCCTTCCTTCCCACTGGGGGTTAATGGTGCACATTTATGCTGGCACCTATTCCTCATCCTGGCCCAGTTACCACAAGGTGCTCTGGAGCCATAGCGGGACCCCAGCTCCCACCTTAGAGCCATAGGGATCCAAAGCAGGGCTGGCCAAGCTCCCAAGAGTTGGGTGATACATAACCAACAGCAAGGAACAGGGGGACATGATGCTCAGAGATCCTGGGTTTGGGAAGAATCATTCTGGCTTCCCTTGGGACAGTTCTTACCATTCTTCTTGCCTCAGTGTCTCCCCATAAGTTCAGACTTCTTGGGGTTTGGGTATGTGGTGAGGTGGGTTTGTACCCTGGAGTCAGTCTCTCCTTTCACATATTGTTGGGGCTGCCCTGAGCCAGTGACCGTGCAGGAGAGAATTGGAAACTAAAATATCAAAGGACAGAGATAGGTCCACTCCTCATTTTAAACATTGGCCCAGAGGCCTTTGGGAAGCAGATAGAAGCTTTCTGTTCTCAGTGCCTGAGACCCCCTTACTAGAGACACTTATTTTCTGCTAAGTCATTTTTGGTAGAAATTCTTTCATGTATCTTTTTTTTTTTTTTTTTGGTGGTGCTACGGATTGAACTCAGGGCCTTGTGCATGCTAGACAAGCACTCTACCACCTGAGCTATATCCCCAGCCCCCAACCTCCTGTTTTTATCCCTGCGTCTGCCCCCACCTGATCTGTGTTCCTTCTTTTACTTTTTTTAGGAATTGAACCCAATACCTCATGCCTGCTAAGTACACATTCTTACTTTATTTTATTTTTATGTGGTGCCGATGATCAAACCCAGCACCCCACATGTGTTAGTCAAGTGCTCTACTAAGTACACAAAAGCTCTTAAGTACACAAAAGTACACAATCTTACTACTGAACTATACCTTAGTACACCCTAGCAACGACTTTTTTTTTTTTTTTTTTTAATAGACAAAGTACAGATTTGATGAAGGTGGAAGTAGCACTCTGTAAGATACAGTGGAGCAGGCTGAGCAAGAGAGAGGCTCAAGGCCCAGTTACCATTTTTTTAAATAACAGTTTTATTGAGATATGGCTCACATGCTGTATAGTTCACCCATTTAAAGTATATTATATTCAATGGGTTTTAGTAAATGCACAAAATTACTCAACTGTCACTACATCTAATTCCAGAATCTTTTCATCATATCCCAAAGAAAGTCTCACATTCATTAGCACATACTCCCCCTTCCCCCTTGCTTCCCAGCCCCTGGCAACCTTTTATTTTTCTCTTTGGTACTAGAGATTGAATCCAGGGGAGACTGTACCACAGAACTACAACCCCAGCCCTTTTTATTTTTTATTTTGAGACAGAGTCTCATTAAGTTGCCCTGATTGGCCTCAAACTTGAGATCATCTTGCCTCAGCCTTCTGAGTCACTGGGATTACAGGTGTGGGCTACCATGTCTGTACCTTGGCAACTTTTTTTTTTTTGGTGCTGGGTATTGAAATCAGGGGYGTCAACCACTGAAATACATCCCCCCTATTTTGTATTTTATTTAGAAATAGGGTCTCACTGAGTTGCRTAGCACCTCGCTGCTGCTGAGGCTGGCTTTGAACTCACAATCTTCCTGCCTCAGCCTCCCTAGCTGCTGGGATTATAGGCGTGTGCCACTGCGCCCAGCTCCTGGCAACTTTTAATCTGCTGTCTCTATGGACTTGCTCATTATGAACATTTCATACAGATGGAATCATGTGCTGTGTGGTCTTAGGAACTGACTTCTGAATTCTTTCGCTTAGCTTAATGTTTTCAATATTCATCTTGTAGCCTGAATCAGCTTGTTGATTCTTTATTTTTAGTTATTTTTAGTTGTAGTTGGACACAATATTTATTTTTAGTTGTAGTTGGACACAATACCTTTATTTATTTATGTTTGTATGTGATGTTGAGGATTGAACCTAGGGCTTTGCATGTGTTAGGCGAGCACTCCACTGCTGAGCCACAAGCCCATCCCTTGTTGATTCTTTTTAAGGCTGARTAATACTCTATGGTTATATATTTTGTTTCTCTATTCAGCCATTAATGAATACTTTTGTCTATTATGAATAATGCTGCCATGAACGTTTATTAAAAGTTTTTGTGTGGACATGTTTTCACCTCGCTTGTGGTGAAACAGTACAGACACACATAAAAACACCTAGGAGTGGAATGGCTGGATCATATGGTAACTTTGTTAGCCTTTTGAGGAACTTCCAAATTATTTTCCAAAGCATCTGCACCATTTTACATTTTTTTGTTGTTAATATGTTTTAGTTGTAGATAGACACAATACCTTTATTTTATTTATTTTTATGTGGTGCTGAGGATTGAACCCAGGGCCTCGCTCTTGCTAGGTGAGSGCTCTGCTGCTGAGCTACAACCCCAGCCTCCCATTTTACATTTCTAACAGCAGTGTACAAGGGTCTCAGTTTCTCTGAATCCTCACCAATCCTTGTTATTTATTTATTTTTGCAATGGGGGAGGGGTGGGTACTGGGATTGAATCCAGGCCTTGTGCTTGCTAAGCACATGTACCAATGAGCTACATTCCCCAGTCTTCTGTCTTTGGGTGTGTGCATATGATGCTGGGAATTGAACCCATGGCTTCAACACATCAGGCAAGTGTTCTAGTGCTATGTTACATTCCAACTCTATCCTCTATCTTTTAGATTGTAGCTATCTTAATGGGTATGAAGGGGCATCTTCTTGTGGTTTTTATTTCATTTGTCTGGTGGCTATGGATGTTGAACATATTTTCATGTACTTGTTAGCCACTTTTTCTGCCAAGAAATGTTTATTCAGGTCTTTGCTCATTTTAAAATTTGGTTCTCTGCCCAGTGTGGTAGTGCATGCCTATAATCCCAGTAACTCAGGAGGTTGAGGCAGGAGGATCCCAAGTTCAAAGCCCAGCAACTTAGTGAGGCCCTAATCTAGCGAGACCCTGTCTCAAAATAAAAAAATAAAAAGGGCTGAGGATGTGGCTTAATAGTTAAGTGCCCCTGGGTTCAATCCTCAGAATGAATGAATGTTTTCTTTTATATATATATATATTTTAGTTGTAGATGGACACACAATATCTTTTATTTATACATGGTGCTGAGGATTGAGCCCAGTGCCTCACACATGTGAGGCAGGCACTTTATCACTTGAGCTACAGCCCCAGCCCTAGGTTTTCTTTTTGAGTTGTAGGATTTCTTTATTCTACCAATGCAACAAGAGATCTGATTTGCAAAAATTCTTCCCCATTTCATGGATTTTCTTTTTTACTTTCTTGGTTTCTTTTGAAGCACAAAGTTCTAAGTTTGGATAAAGCCCCCTATTTTTTTTCTTCTGTTGTTTATGTTTTTGCTGTCTTATTTAATAAGTCATTGCTTGATCTAAGGTTATGAAGCTTTCATCTCATGTTTTCTTCTAAGGGTTTATAGTTGTACCTCTTTCATTTATGTCTTTGGTCCAATTTGAGTTAGTTTTGTGTACAATGTCAGGTGGGATCAAACTCCAGTCTTTGCCTGTGGCTTCCTAATTTCCTAGCACCAATATTAAATTGTCTTCCCAGTTCCTGAAGGAAAAAAACCACAATGACATCAGGGACTGGCAACTTGACTATGGGGGCTCCAGCAGAGTCCAGGGCAATCTTTCTGGACTTGACTGGAACTGCTTCAGACTCTGCTTCTTTGGTGCCTCATCCAGGATGCAGAGCTGTGTGCTACTTGGCCCCCTGGACCTCTGGAGAAGCAGCTCTGAGGGGTCTCTCCCTTCAAATGTGTGTCTTTAACTTTTATGACATGAGAAACCCTTTCTCTTTTGGTCACACCTTCTGTCCACTTTAGAACTTCCTTGTTCTGAGAAACTGCAGCTCAGAGTCCTTGCAATGAATCCACCTGCTYCCTTAGCAGGAACCCAGTCAGTATACAGAGGTGGGCTCTGTATAATGGATATGTATACTGTCTGTGTGTCCACTGGCTAGGACTTCCTATCTCCTCATGAGTCAGGACCTATCATGGTGGGTACCCTCCTGCCCTTGGGTTGGTGGTTGTCCCACCCTTGATTTTTGCAGATAACCCTCATACCATACCTTAGAAATGGATGCCTATTAGAGTTCAAGTTTTTTATTTCATATTAGTTCATCCATCTTGTCCCCTAGATATCTGTACTTTGTGGAATCTTGAGGTTGCCACTTGCCTCTGCCCTGCCTTGGGTTCTGTACCCCTTACCATAGATATGGATCAGGTATGAATCTAGAGAGTGCCAAAGTGATGCAGTCTGGTTCAATTTTGCTATCATCTGCTATACCCCTGCCATTTTGTTTTTTGGGGGGATACCAGGGATGTTTAACCACTGAGCCACATTTCTAGCTCTTTTATTTTGAGATAAGTTCTTGCTAAGTTGCTTAGGGCGTCACTAAATTGCTGAGGCTGGCTTTGAACTGGGGGGTCTTCCTGACTCAGCCTCTTGAGCTGCTGGGATTACAGGCATGTGCCACCACACTCAGCTATCCCTAACGTCTTGTGTTGGGTGGACCAGTAGGTGTCAGAAGTTTACCTTGAAATCACATAGCTGGACCTCTGCATGGCTAAGCTGGTCTCTTCCCTGCAGGGACTTATGGACTGAGCAATGCACTGCTGGAGACGCCCTGGAGGAAGCTGTGCTTTGGCAAGAAGCTCTTCCTAGAGGTTGTGGAGCAGAGCCATGTGCTCCCCAAGGATACTCTTGTTACCCAGCTCCTGGATGTGCTCAACAATGAGGAGGCGTAAGTGGGCAGATTCTTCTGGAGTGACCAGAAGAGGCAAAGAAGAAGGCAGGCTCTGCTACTCTAAAGGCCTATGAAAGTAACCAGGGCTGGCTTCTAACTGCAGGAAACCTGAAAAATATGCTGTCCTTGGCCCCTCTGCTACTCCCCCACTGTTCTCCTTGATTTCTGGTAGGGGCCTTTAATGATGAGAGATGGGGAAGTCAGGGTCATGTGGGCTGGGAGGCTCAGTGCTCATAGAGATCTGATGCAGGCTGGCCTGAGGCCAGAGCAGCTGGAGGTTCTCTTCTGTGTGAGAGGGGATATAGATAGAGCTTCCCACATGCTGTCTTTCTAGTGACTTTGGGGTTGAGCACTGGGCACAGACATGCCTGTTCCTGGGGGCAGGGGAGCTCCCCCACCATCTTCCTTGCCCATAGACCTCTGCACAGGGCACCCTCAGATACTGGACACCTAGGGCTTAGCTGTCCCAGCAGGGATCCTGGTGCTCATCAACCTGGATTTTGTTCTGCGTGTAGTCCCATATATCCCTCCCACTGCCACACATACCATTTCCTGCCTAGACAACCCAGCATTCACTTGTGTACCCTGTTGGTCTCACTTCCCCCAGTGGACCTTCAGAGGACACCTCATAGTCTGTCTCCCKTTCTTTTCTCCCTGCCCTCCCACAACTGCCTCAAGGCCTCTGAACCGTAACATTACCCTTTAGCCTCAGCATCACCACTCCCTTGGGGGAGCTGTGCTGGCCCAGCCCTCTGCTCAGCTCTAAGACCACATAGTCATTAGTCAGTGTGTCATCCTGGACAGAGCCATGATAGGCCCTGGCTGCTCTTATTGATTGCTGTAGCTCTAGTGCCYCTTGTGGTGGCTGGCAAGTCTCAATGCTTGAGTGGACTCCTGTCATGAAAAGCTGCTTGCAAAGGCTCTTCTAGGGGCAGTAAGAGAATATATATGCTATCTGGCTGCCTGGGTTTCAGTGATGGAGTCATAMATAGATGAGTAGACAAAGATGTGAGGCATTGAGCATGAAAGGGAATAAATCAACACTTGTGGTTCTCCCCAGTTGCTTTCCAAGCCCAGGGAGCTCATTAGGAACCTGAAAGCTGTTAGCACTTTAGGTTAGACCAGCTGGCCATACAGGACCATGGACAGGCAGCAGAGGGAATGATGACCTTTTCCCCCTCTGTTCTTCCAGACAGCTGCCAGACCCAGCCATTGAAGACCAGGGCCAGGAGTATGTGCAGCCCATACTGAGCAAGTATGCAGCTGTATGTGTGCGCTGCCCCAACTATGGAACCAGGTATGGAGGGGCTGGGGATGCCAGGTGCATCACCTTCCTACCCTAGTCTCCCACTTCCCAGGCTGGAGGAAGGATAAAGAAASTGAGCTTCCTTATGTTCCATAGTTAGCTAGGACCAGGCTATTTCCCTAACTGAGTAAATTCAAAGCCTTTGCCCTGTATAGACTGGGCTACAGGGGCAAGCAGACTCCACAGTTAAGGGCCATGCATAACATAAATGAGCATCAATTCCCAGGGGCTCTGTAGATCAGGGCTTGAGGTCCCCCAGTCTTCAGCCGTCTTCTAGATGGGGTCATTGGGCTGCCCCCTTGGGGTCAGGCCCCCTTAGGGCCACCCTGTGAAAGTTTTGGGCAGGCAGGTGGGGCTCTTCCTGCAGAGGGAAGGCAGGGAAGGCTGGGGGTGTTTCAGACTAGAGGTGACGGGACTCACCCAGTGTGGGCATGCAGGCTTGGTCAGGAGGCCCAGATGCCTCTGACAAGCTTCTCTGTATCCTCAAGACTGGGATTGCTACTCATTTGTGACCTACCACAAAGCTGGAACCAAGTGCCCAGCACAGACCCCATACCTGGTGAATCTGCCTCTTCCTGCCTCCTGCCTCAGGTCTGGCACCAGCTGTGCCTCTGACAGGTAGGACTGGAGCCTAGGGATACAGGGTGAACACTGTTTTTCAGAACCAACACCATCATCCTTGTGGACGCAGATGGTCACGTGACCTTCACGGAGCGCAGCATGCTGAACAAGGACCCCTCCTGCTGGGAGACCAACACCTACGAGTTCATGTTACAGAGCTAATCCCCCACTGCTGGATATGGCCAGCAGGCTCTTGGGAGGCCCTACCTTGAAGGCCAGTGTGGACAGGAAACTTCCATGACCATACTACACTGCTCGTGACTTGGCCAACATTMTCAGMGATGTCTAATTTGTTTGTTACCTATTCTTGTGTTGTATCCAGCTCAGGGTCTGCCTTTATGCCAATGGGGARTGAGAGATTCTGATGCCAGGTCTAGGACAGAACCAGGTGTACCATATGTGTATGACTATACTTGGGTCTACCTTGTCCACATGTAAAGGCACACATACACATGTAGGGCATATGCTCACACACATATACACCCCCATGTGCTGAGGCACACACATGCACACAAAATTGCACGTGTATACATATTTGAACACATACTCAAGAGTATACACACACATGTGCATGCCAAGCAGGCAGAAGAGAACCTTTTACCTTATACTTGTAGCCAATGGCTCTTTGCTSTGGTCAAATRTYAGGAGTAGGCTTTTATTTAMATGGTGCCTTAAATGGTGTTTAAGTGGTGCATAGGGCACCACTGTGCTTTACTTCCCAACAACCATACCTGTTCCTGAGAGGATATGGGCCATATTTGGAATCATATACAAGGAGGACCAGAGAAAAACTCACTTTTACAATAGAAGCTCAGCCTCATTAGAGATCCAGTGGTTCTGCATATGCCAGAGAGTCCTGTGTGCATTGGACAGTCTTGAATGAGAGATGTGGCCCYACATATGCTGGGTGGTCTTTTGTGCACCAAGGGTCCTGCATGGTCAGGTCCATGGTGCAGGATGGTTGTGTGTGTGCCAGGGGCTTTCAGGCCACTACTTACCCAGTGGGTGTTATGGGTTCTGGGAAGGCCCATCTCAGCAAGGGAACTTAGCTAGCCTTTGCTGTCTCCCTTCTTGGTACATCAAACTTTACAGGAACCTGAACTTGAATGTGAGCTGTTGATAATAAAGCTTTGAAGTTGTGGTGAGTAAATGGGTTTCAAGATCCTTCCTTTGTGTGATGGTGGTGACAGGAACTCTTGTGGTGGCACCAATACCCATACGAGGTTCTTTCTGCCTCCTTTTGTCACAACCTCCTCAACACTGTAATGGAGGCCTCTGGGTCAGGCTATCTGTCTATGGGTAGAAGCCAGGGTGCAAGAGACCCACTCATATATATGGGACCCAGGTGCTGATTACTGGATGAGGGATTCATTAGGAGGAGCCCTTGGAGGGAGAGGCATGGAAATGGTGGAGTTGAGGGCCAGAGGACAAATAGTCAGCCTCAGCCATGGCACTTGGGAGCTAAAGTTTCAAGCACTGGCCATGCATAAGTCCCACATATCCATTGCTTAGCTCCATGCTTCCTTTGCCTTTGGAGTTGACCTGACTTGGCCTTCTCAGAGCAATGAGTTTAGAGTGGATGTGGACCTGTGCTGTGTATCCCAGCCTGGGTATGACAAATTGCTAGTCCATCTGGGAATGAGTAGGGGCCCAGCTTCCCTCTTCCTGTCTCCTCCATGCCCCTGGGTCTGAGGCCCTCCATGGCTCACTTTAAACTCAGAAGAATAGTGGTTAAGCCAGACCAGGCTTAAAGGGGGCTTCCAGTGGTGACAAAATACATGTCTAGGCCAAAGTTCTCAAGACCCATGTGTCTGGCAGTCAAGGCTCCCAACCAGCCCCACTGCCAACATTCTCCATGTGCCTCAGTGGGTTTTCCTCTGTCTTGTACCCATGTTCTATGCCAGCACTTCCCCCCAGCCAGGTACTCTGCTCTCATGCAGAGCCTCCCTATCTAGAACCGCCCTGTTCATCTCTGTCCTAGAGACTGGATCTGCCCAGGGAAAGCTTTTTAAACACTTGTCATGAACCCCTCTGCCCCCGGCCTACCCAGGGCTCCCCAATAGTCTAGACCTTCTGAGGAAAGGGCAGCCCAAGATGTAGATTCTATTGTTATGGGTTGAGTTCTGCCCCCAACTCCCCTGCCCCCCCCCCAACAGTCACTTTGGATTAGGGCCCAGCCTAAATTTATCTTGATTATATATGGAAAGACGTTATCTCCCAATAGTCACATTCTAGATAGTGCAGAGTTCCCAAGGGCTTTGGCTGGCCTAGCCACAGGGAGGCTTGTGTGCCCTGGCTGAGTCCAACAGCTAGACCCTCACAGTAGAATGGTTCCTGCTATGAGATGCTAGATGCTGAGGGAGGCAGGTAGAGAGGGAAAGTCCTAAGCAGGGCTCCAGCTTCATCATCTCGATACCACCTTCCTCCATTTTCTTTATTTCTTCGTGTGTGTGTGTGTGTGTGTGTGTGTGTNTTTGCTGTCTCCCTTCTTGGTACATCAAACTTTACAGGAACCTGAACTTGAATGTGAGCTGTTGATAATAAAGCTTTGAAGTTGTGGTGAGTAAATGGGTTTCAAGATCCTTCCTTTGTGTGATGGTGGTGACAGGAACTCTTGTGGTGGCACCAATACCCATACGAGGTTCTTTCTGCCTCCTTTTGTCACAACCTCCTCAACACTGTAATGGAGGCCTCTGGGTCAGGCTATCTGTCTATGGGTAGAAGCCAGGGTGCAAGAGACCCACTCATATATATGGGACCCAGGTGCTGATTACTGGATGAGGGATTCATTAGGAGGAGCCCTTGGAGGGAGAGGCATGGAAATGGTGGAGTTGAGGGCCAGAGGACAAATAGTCAGCCTCAGCCATGGCACTTGGGAGCTAAAGTTTCAAGCACTGGCCATGCATAAGTCCCACATATCCATTGCTTAGCTCCATGCTTCCTTTGCCTTTGGAGTTGACCTGACTTGGCCTTCTCAGAGCAATGAGTTTAGAGTGGATGTGGACCTGTGCTGTGTATCCCAGCCTGGGTATGACAAATTGCTAGTCCATCTGGGAATGAGTAGGGGCCCAGCTTCCCTCTTCCTGTCTCCTCCATGCCCCTGGGTCTGAGGCCCTCCATGGCTCACTTTAAACTCAGAAGAATAGTGGTTAAGCCAGACCAGGCTTAAAGGGGGCTTCCAGTGGTGACAAAATACATGTCTAGGCCAAAGTTCTCAAGACCCATGTGTCTGGCAGTCAAGGCTCCCAACCAGCCCCACTGCCAACATTCTCCATGTGCCTCAGTGGGTTTTCCTCTGTCTTGTACCCATGTTCTATGCCAGCACTTCCCCCCAGCCAGGTACTCTGCTCTCATGCAGAGCCTCCCTATCTAGAACCGCCCTGTTCATCTCTGTCCTAGAGACTGGATCTGCCCAGGGAAAGCTTTTTAAACACTTGTCATGAACCCCTCTGCCCCCGGCCTACCCAGGGCTCCCCAATAGTCTAGACCTTCTGAGGAAAGGGCAGCCCAAGRTGTAGATTCTATTGTTATGGGTTGAGTTCTGCCCCCAACTCCCCTGCCCCCCCCCAACAGTCACTTTGGATTAGGGCCCAGCCTAAATTTATCTTGATTATATATGGAAAGACGTTATCTCCCAATAGTCACATTCTAGATAGTGCAGAGTTCCCAAGGGCTTTGGCTGGCCTAGCCACAGGGAGGCTTGTGTGCCCTGGCTGAGTCCAACAGCTAGACCCTCACAGTAGAATGGTTCCTGCTATGAGATGCTAGATGCTGAGGGAGGCAGGTAGAGAGGGAAAGTCCTAAGCAGGGCTCCAGCTTCATCATCTCGATACCACCTTCCTCCATTTTCTTTATTTCTTCGTGTGTGTGTGTGTGTGTGTGTGTGTGTGTGTGTTTGTGTACTGAGGATTGAACCCAGGAGTGTTTAACCACTGAGCCACATACTCAGCCCTATTTATTTATTTTTATTTTAAAGACAAAGTCTCCCTAAGTTGCTTAGGGCCTCACTAATTTGCTGAGCCTGGCTTTGAACTTGAAATCCTCCTACTTCAGCCTCCTGAGTTGCTAGGATTATAGGCATGCACCTGGCTCCTTAACCTTTTTCACATAAAAATTATTTCAACTTAATAAAACAACTAAAAAGTAAAGAATTCCATTATCTTTCATTTAGTTTCTCAAAATGTTAACACAGCACCAAACCACAGTAAAATGATTATAACCAGGAAATTAACATTGACACTGTTAAAAGATGATTCAATGATACTAATTAAATCATGGTAAGGAAGACTATTCAGGATCATCACCATAGTTTGGGACCACCACAGTAGGATCTTCCAATGGAAAGGATATAACTCTGAATACAGCCTGGACAAGTGGAAGTTTGTCTCTAAGGAGCAGAGTAGGGGGTCACTGAATGGAAAATTGCTGAGAGAAAATATAGGGATGAAGGGGGATTTCAGCAATCTAACAGGATTCTTGCTAAAGGCAGGCCAGGTGATCAGTCATCACCTGGGGGATGGTGAAGATCCTGATCAGATATCAAAAACTGGGGGAAGAGGGTGCTTGCCAGATTAACTTAGCAGAGTGCTTAGCAAAAATTGGAAGAACACAAATGGGCTTTGGAGAAGGTTCAGAAGCCTGACTAAAGTTTGGCCAAGTGAAGAATCTTTCAATAGAATAGAATTAACTAATCAATAGACTTTATTTGAATTTTACCACTTATCCCACTATATTCATTTTCTGAGCCGAGATCCTATTTAGGATCTGGATTTCACATTGCACTTAGTTGTGTCTCTTAATTGAAGATGGCTCTTCAGTCTGTCTTTGATTTGAATCATCTTAACACTTTGAAAAAGTGCTTGCTGGTAATTTTACAGAATGCTCCTAATTTGGGGTTTGTCTGATCTTTCTTCATTCAAGTTTTGCTTTTGGGCAGAAATACCTACTAGTGAATCTATCCCCTTTTCAGGAGACCCACAATATATCTGTCCATTGATTAGTGCTTTTTTCTCCTATCCCCCTTCATTTAAAAAAAATATTTCTTTATTTGTAGATGGACACCATACCCCTATTTTATTTATTTATTTTTATGTGGTGCTAAGGATCAAACCCAGCACCTTACACATGCTAAGGCAAGCRCTCCACCACTGAGCCACAAACCCAGCCCCTCCCCACTTCATTTCTTTTGAGGTATAAGTAATAAACACTGCAACATCCGTATTTAAAGTGTACAGCTTGCTAATGCTAAATTTGGAGGTGCTGGTGATCTTGATGAATTGCTTAAGGTGGTGCCTTCCCAGATTTTCTTTCTCCCTGCAAAGCTGTTTCCTCTCTTGTAATTACTGGAATATCTAGGGGAGAGAAAATTTGCAACTGTGTTAAAAAACAAAAACCTGGGAGTGTAGCTCTGTGTTACAACAGCAGGCTCAGCATAGGAGAGGCTTTCGATTCTAGCCTCAGCACCAAAAACATWAAAAACAAAACCTTGTGGCTGGAGATACAGCTCAGTGGTAAAACACTTGCCTAGCAAACCGGCGACCCTCGGTTTGATCCCCAGTAGGACAAGAAGAGAGAACCTATTTCTCATTTTCCGCTCATATACCATATTTTTGGCATCTGATTTTCGTATCCAGCAACAATGATAGAAGAGCCTGCCAATGGTCAATCATCATCCCTTCTATATATATTGGCGGAGTACTAATTTAGGGAAGAGCTGTCCCTTCTCTATTTCTATCCTCCCTCTTTTTACGGTTCCAGATATAGTATTAGCAAATGGAAAACTGTCAGACAGTTGAGCTTACTTGATTTTTAAGAAGTGATTGTTTGCTTTTAATTGGCGACTGTACGGTGCYTAAGTGTGCACGGCCTCTTCCACACTGCCCACTTCGGAGGCGGCCCGCTGGCTGCTCTGTTTCCGAGTACCCGGCGCTCCAGTTCCCGTCGCCCGCAATAATTCCCGCGCTCCCTTCCTCCCGGCATCCCTCGCGCTTGCCCTCCCGGCGCTCCCCGCGGCCGCTGCCCTACCCGCGCGGAGCCCCTCCCGGGCGGTGACCGTTAGTACAGCTTCAGTCTCTGCCTCRGCGCCTGGTCCCGCCTGCGCAGTCGGAACTATTGGGCCGCGCGCTCCTACCGCGCCCGCCACTCGCCTTG